CTAATTGTGGGGGCATAGTAATTTTCAATCATCCTCCAGGGGACATAATATTAAAGCAGGGTATTCTAATGGAGGTGGCATTGTATCTTTCAATTAGCTAAATGTCGAGCAATTGTTGGACATTTTGCTGATTCAAATCTTGCCTATGATCGATTAGAAGAAGCTCAGGTCCTTGAGATTGTTAAGATTTATTGTTAAAATTTAAAAAATAAAATTTAAAAAATTTTATAAAATTTTTTAAAAAATACCGAATACCGGCCGGTATACCGAAAATGTTGAGACGGTATTTTCCGGTATCGGTATTTTTCCGGTATACCGATACCGTACCGGTCAATTTTTGTAAAAAACGGTATTTTTCGGTATCGGTATTTTTTCGGTATACCGATACCGAATACCGGAAAAGGTCATTTGCCGAACACTAGTCTATATCTCTGCGAGTATATCTCTCCAGATTCTTTATGATTACCCATTTTAAATATATTTTTTTAACAAAAAATAATAGAAAACAAACCCTTCATTGTAACTTGTAATTCGGAGATATTAAGAAAGAACTCTGAATTCGGCAAAGCCGATGAATTCAGCGTGCCCGCAGTTTCTTGTTGAGGCGAGGCCGCCGAATTTTGTTGCGAAGAGTCATCAGACTTTAAATTTATCATTAAAAAATAAATGTATGTATTTTTCAAAATAATACCTCTGAACCGTCATTATCAGATTCAATATAAGCATTTCTTTCCATTATAAATTTTAGATATTTTTTAGTATAGAAACTGCTTTAAATCTATAATTTGTATAATCGGATTATTTATCGCAAAATCGGGGCCTATATCTCTGCGAGTTTTCGTCCCCGGCAAAAAATTCTTGCATATTTGAACTCAGTATATTCGATTACCTATATAAAATGATTTTCAGAAAAAGATGATTTTTAAGGTTTTTAAGAGCGGATCCCAGATTCTTTATGATTACCCATTTTAAATATATTTTTTTATATTAACATCAGAGACAAAATACATTTTCGTTGTCTTAGATTTTTCTACCCAGTTTTAGAAAGTCCACACTGAAAATGTTTTTCGTGCATTTCACAGTCATAAGAATTCAGGAAAAATATGGATTTCCATATAAATGTACACCCTAGTAATAATATTGCCCCTATTGAAGTTTTTGACTGATAAATAAACAGCACGAATTTGTAGGTCAACATTTTTAAGAAAAAAGTTGACCTATGTATTTTTCCTTTATTTATTCAGAAAAGTTCATTTTTTATTGCTTCTTTCACATTTTCCTTATTTAATGTTGACCTTACAAATAATATTTTTTCAAAGAGGTAATTTACTGAGAATAAGTAAAATTATTTTAAATAAAGATTCATATCTGTACAAGCATCATTTTTTTAATTTTTATAATTTATTAAATTAAAGTTTAAGCATTCATTACAATTGGTTGTATCATTTTTGTTACTCGGGCATTTTTTCTTGGACATTTTTCGTTTGACATTCCCGATGCCCGACTTCCGATTTCCGAAAATTCAGGCTGATTTCTGTTTTCCCACAGTTCCGATTTCTGGCACTTTCGTCATATCCGACCGACCTCTGGTTTTGTTTAAGCGAAATACTCTGTTTAGGATATCCATAAGATACCGTATATTTAAGCCCGTAATTGTAATTTATAGTTATAAGATTCAGCTATATTAATATTTTTTATTTCCTGTATTATTTTTTACTAAGTAAATTTTTTAAATTATGAATAGATTAATAAAAATGAGTATCATTAAAAATATAGAATTAAAATTTTTTGAAGGCTTTTGGAAGATATGGTATTCCCTGTTTTATGAAGGCTGAAACGAACTTTCAGGATTTTAAACCAGACCGGAATTAACAATTAAAATTTATTTATTATTTATTTTAGATAAATTTTTTGTTACATGTCTGAGCTTACACGTCCTTCGACTTTAGATTATAAATATTACGAGGATTGGAAAAGGGTATATGATGCTTATTTTCTTTCTGCTTATCCAAATTCGAATATAAATTCATCATATCATTCAAATTCTTCCAACATAAGCAATATTAATCATAGTTACGATGGATCGAATACATCAAATGGTAAATTTTAAATTATTAATTTTCTCAATATTAATCAAACGGGTTTGCCATTTATTTCATATGTACATATTTTAAATTTCAATTTTTTTATTTTGAGTTTCAAGTTCTCAATAAAAGTTTATCGGCTTTATGTACCACCGTTTTAAAATCAGTTTTCGGCTCACCACGAAAAAGTATCGTATCCAATATTTCTTTTAACACTAGGGTTGGGGGCCCGGTTAATCACTAAGGATCGAATCGGGCATCGAATTCTGACACGAAATATGGACGGCCCGATTCCATAAAAATGAGACCCAAAATAAAGACTCGAACGTTTGTCTGATTCGAAACCCCCAACCCTTATTAGCGCAGTAAAGAATACTAATTTTGTTCCCCATACTGACCATCTCTTATACCTCTAATGATAATTTAAACTCGAATACTGAATCATCTATTAAAGATAAAAATATTGAGATTTTCGGGTACTTTTCCGTTTTGTTACACCCCCTATACATATTAATGCTCAAAATGTCATATATAGGGTAATAAAAGGTGCTGAGTTGAATGGTACCCTTCTTTTTTCCAGGAGTTGTCTGTGGACCCAGATATAGGGCTCGAAATGGTCAAAATTCATGGGGTCATATTGGGGTAAAAAATTATAACAGAATATGCAAAGTTAATAATGTAGACACTCATTCTAACCTAAATACATCGACAGAACGATCTAATGAAGTGAAGAATATTTCTTCAAATTTTTATCGAACAGAATATTCGGATAATTTTAATAAAGAGACAACAAATTCTTTTAATAATGAAGGTCCTTCCACAATAGAAACAACAAGTTCTAATAAAATAAATAACAATGAAACAATTTTTGATTCAAACTCGTCTAATGGGATAAATCCTCAAGAGATTGAAAATCCCAAATCCAAATTACGTTCTTATAAACAAAATAATCCTGAGAAAGATTTTATTCCAAAATCAGGTGTTCCTGAAAAGGGTATGTGAAATTAATATAATAAATGAATCTCACAATAAGATACTGTCTTAGAGCTATAAAATTTTATGCAAGGATGAGGAATGTCTTATACCGTATTTACTCGATTAATTCCCCACCCTCTATTAATTCCCCATGCCAGGGATGAGTTGAAAAAATAATTCCATCCTGAATACCCTACTACACGTTCAAATTTCAAAACTCGAATAATTCCCCATCCTCTATTAATTCCCCATGCTACGGATGGGTTGAAAAAGTAATTCCCCGGGGGAATTAATCGAGTAAATACGGTATCTCCCTAATATGACATACCCACGTCATAAAATTTTATTATTAGGCTGCTCTGTCTTGTTATAACTTAATAGAAAGTATCTTAATTTGAAGCTTTAGGAACTTATGATTCTGCAATATTCATTTAATTATTATAAATTAAAGGTGATTTAAAATATCCTGATGAGGATTACATAGTTACAAAAACAAAGCGTTCTTCAAATAAGCAAAATATGGAAAGTAAAATTGTTGATAAACAAAATATTCCTTGCTTAAGAGGTTTTTGGACATAAAAAATAAATTTAGTTTTAACTGATTAGGACTGAAAAATCATGGAAATACTTGTTATTTTAATGCTTTAATGCAAAGCCTTGCAGGGTGTGATAAATTTGCCGAATTTCTACTTTGTTATGATTTTGAGGAATATAAAAAAGTGAAATTAAAAATTTATCAAATTATATTTTAAATTTTAAGAATGTTATTTTAAATTCCTTTATACATACAATTCGTTGTATGTGGTTTAATAACACTTCTGTTGACAATTGTTGTTATAGAACTATTAGTTCTATTGCTAAAGAGAATTCAACATTTTGTCTTGGCTTTCAACATGTAAATTAATTAAGTTATTTTTTGGCTCCTTTTTAGAATGTGTTAATGGCAGTTTTAGTTTATTTAAGACACGTTTTTATATAACGATTGACACGTAATTTAGTCTTCCGAGCGATGCCTTTTTTTAATAAGCCTATATTATGAGATACGTGCTATAAGATATTTTAAGATGGTGTATCTTAAAAAAAGTGTTAGGCACGGTTCGGTACTACCACGGTACTACCGTCAGTACTGGACCGGTACTAACGGTAGTATCGTACCGGTCAGATTTTGGGATTTTCGGTACACGTCGGTACCGGTACTTTTCGGCACTACCGGTACCTGAAAAATCCATTTGCCTAGCACTATTAAAAATGAGTTTCGACTTTGAGTTTTTCTATAAATTTTTACTAAGGCCAACAGTTTGTCTAATATCAGGGCTTCAAATAGAAAGGAAGAACAAAACCCAGAGTAAATTTATCGTAAATACATCGCGCAAGGCGCACATGTATGTGACGGATATCTTACTAAAAACAATTCTTTTATAAATTATTTTTAAATATCTAAATAGGATTCTCATGAATGTATGATTTGGTTATTAAATAAACTCAATCGAGAAATTTTGGATTCAAATTTGGAGAAATATTATGATAAGGGATGGAGCATGGACTCGAATATTGAACGGATTGGATGTAGCAATTCTAATCAAGAAGATAAAAAATCAACTGTCTTAGAGTTATTTCAGTAAGTTAAAAATATTTTTAAAATTTATTTTTGACTTGCTCTACGCTATCAAATTGAAAAATTATTATTAATATATTCTTCTGGTTTAATGCGAATAATGCTTATCTAAGGAAATTTCCGCTAATATAGCATTCATAATACATCTAGACAAGCTTCGTAACATACTAGGGCACTTTGGATTTGATAACTTTAGAGTTTGATGCTGCACATTGGGTACATTGGTTTTTGACCATTTCGAGCCCTATATCTCTGTCCACAGGCATCTCCTGAAAAGTTGATTTTATTACCCTAAATATGACATTTTGAGCATTAATGTAGGGTAGATGGCGAACTTAAAAGTACCCAATTTTTTAACTTTCAGAGGTCAATTCCAAAATGAAATAAAATGTACTGCTCCAAATTGTGGTTTTGTTGATATTTCATACGAACCTTTTCTTTCTGTTTCACTCAGTGTTCCTTTGTAATTTTTTTTAAATTTTATAAATAATTAAAGTTATATTTTTTAGACCACGTAAATACACTGTAAAATTCATTACTCAACATCCTGTGCGTAAAATCACCCGTTTTAACTTTAACAGTTCGTATCCATTTTTGACCGTTAAAGATATAATGGAACAAATAGAGCAAGTTGTGAAAATCTCCCCAGTTAATGTTTGTTTATATTTAATGTTCTAAAAATATTTGGTCCGAACATTGGTCCGAAGATCTAATTGAGTTATAAGTACTTTAAAGATACCGTATTTTCTCGAATAATTCCTCTCCCTCGAATAATTCCCCCTTTTGATTAATTCCCCCCTGCCAGGGATGGATTGAAATAATAATTCCTTACTCCCCAAATACCCTACTGCACGTCAATGCCTAAACTCGAATAATTCACCATCACACTGATGTGTTGAAATACTAATTCCCCCGGGAGTTAATCGAGTAGTAGATTGGGATAATTTCAAGGATGATTCAAATAGAGCATTTAAAACACTTAGGCGGGGTTTAAACGATTTAAAAAGATAAAAGAAAAATCATGAGCAAAGCCGTGATTTAGCACTGTCAGCGTTGTCGCAGGTTCGAATCCTGTCTGTAGGCTAAACTTTTGTTAAACTCATTCTTAATTTGTCAAACAAATTTTATTTTTTAGATGATTGCAATTAAAATTAAGCCAGATGGGCACTCATATTTAGTTCCAGATAATCTGGTTCTTGAGAGTGATAATAAATTGAATGAGTTCACAATCCTTGAAATACCCGGAGAAATTACTAAACAACTTTTAGAAAATAATTTAATTATTGCTATTGTTTATTTTGTTTTTGGAGATGGAAAAATGTAAACTTAAAATATTTATTTTTGGAATATTTAATTTTGTATACAGCAATATTTTTTGGGATTAACAAACTTTCTGAATGATACCCTCTATTTTGGATAACTAAAATACAAATTTTTCGGCTTTAGTACACAATATACGTCCAACTGACTTTTATACGTTTAATCACACATTATGCTTTTAATAAAAAATTTGGATTTTTCTTTCCATTCTAAATTTGGGGTTGGATCCCGTGACAGTTTTTCAGGTTCAGAACCCACGCCAACTGGGTCTGGTACCGTTCTTCCTTACCCTCTCCCTCTAAATTTTTAAAGTTATAATCGTTTTTCTGAAATTTTAAGCCTAAAACTTTCAGAAATTTCGAGGGATAGTGTACACAATGGTCCCAGACCCAGTGGGCGTAGGTTCTGAACATGAAAAACTGTTACGGAACCCAACCTCAAATTAAAAATGTATTTGATTGAACTATGAAGGTTGATTGGACGCATAAAAGTTGATTTGACGTATACTGTATAATAGAACTAATTTCTCAATCAAATGCTGAATTTTATAGCGTGGTACGAATTTACTAAAAAAATTAAGCTGTATACAAAATTAAGAATTTCAATTTTTAAAAATATTTTCACAAGCAATTCTTAGTTATGGAGAGCCTTATATAGCAAATTTGAATCGAGATTTAAGTTATAATCATTTATGTTTTGAATTGATGGAAAGGGGAACATTTCTTCTTCCAACTCCTTATTACAAAATGAATTGGTGTAAACTTCATTTACAAAATTCTAATGGAACTACTATTTGTTTTGATCAGAGAATCAAAAAACCTCTTTTTCATGAATGCGTGGACAGGTAAAATATTTTGAATAAACAAATTATATTAAAATATGTTTGATAAAACTATATATTCATGATTTTAATTAACTACATAAATAGGGAAATTTAGTCTACGTTAACGGTCTAAGACATCTAGGATGGCTGATTTTTCGTATCAGATTCTCCATTGAGAGAATTTTTTCACATACATAAATTTTTGTTAGATCTCAGCTTTTTTAGGATTTTATTAATAGGTACCGTAAATAATCTAATTGAAGCCTTGGGCTTATATTTTTCAATGGGTCTCCTCAGATGAGCTCATATTAGAGGTGGGCTTCAATTAGCGTATTTACATTATATTAATACGAACTATCGGATCTTGGTATAACAAACCTGGCTAATTTAAGCCGTTTTTAATTACAAAAAAATAAATAATAATTAAATTATTTTTCAGAGCTTTTAACGAAAAAGAAAATAAGAAACATGTAATTCAAATAATTGTTGAATGGGATTTATCTTTAAAAACTGATTTTGAATTGAAATCTATTAAAGAAAAAATTAATGAGAACTATTCGTTAGAAAATAAATTTAATAATAATTCGACACAAACTCCTGTTCCTTTAATTACAATGCTTGATAATTTTGCCAAATCCGGTAATTTTTATCCATTAGAAAAATAGGTTTAATGGCAATTTGTTTAAAACAACAAATTTTGTTATTTATTGAGGAATAACTATTATTACGTCCAGAATCATTTTTGGACATGTAATACTGATCCTTTTTCAGTACCATATTCAGTACCTTGCTTCTTTACTTCAAAAATGATCTGATTTAAAATTTTAATTGCTATTTTTAAAAAAATTTCAAAAGATTTAACCGATATTTAAAAATAATTACCTATGTTTGGGCTACCTTTATTTAACTCAAACCCGAATTAGATGTTAAAAATGTGTGTATAAAAATTTTTATTTTGTTAATAGAGCCCATACAATTTTGGAAATGTCCAAAATGTAACAACCCTTCTGGATCAATGCAAATTAAATTTGATCATTTGCCTGATATTCTTGTTTTTTATCTCAAACGCTTTGCTCAGGTAAATTTATTCAGGGAAACCCCACGTCGGGGAACAACCCTTCTCAGTATTTATATAAATGGACTTCAATTCTGAATACAACAGTGGAAAATTTTATAGTTTAAAATTTCTTTCAATCCCAAAATTTCCTGTCATAAATATCTCCCTGTCCGCCTATGTTAAAATTCTGCCAAACTCTGGAAAATTTTTTAAATTTCTATGCTGCATTTTTATAACAAAAATTATCAATTAAGTAATATTTTCAAATATAATATTATTTTAGTCTGGAAGCAATACAAAGAAGAATGATAAATATGTCCAAATTCCTCTTGAAGAGCTTGATATGAGTTCTTATATTGATAATCAACACACGTTGAAGTGTTTAGCAAAAGTAACTTAATATTATAAATAAATTTTCTTTAAAAATCCAAAATTATTATAGCATAAAGGAAAATTTGAATACAATGCGAATAAATATGATTTGTCATCTATAATTTACCACCATGGAAATAATTTTAACTCGGGTCAGTTCATATCAGAATTATGGAATTTAATAACATTTCTATAAAATTGAGAGTAAATGGTTGAACACATTAAACAAAACCTTTTCAAATTTTTTAGTAAATCCAAAAATCTAAAGAAAAATTGCCGAAAATTGAAAATCTGATCGATGTCAAATTTTCTGCTACCAATAGATATCCCAGATTTTTTAAATGTCGTATCTTCAGCGTTTGGGTTTATTTCCAATTTTCTTTTTTATTCCCAAATCATCCCTTTGTTTCCACATTATCCTTTCTTTTTACATAGCAACTTAAAATAGGCAGAGTATTTAATTATCATTTTAAAGGTCATTATACTGCAGCCGCTCGTAATTTTATTGATGGAAAATGGCGTTTATTTAATGATAATGGCGTTTCAGACAAATCTAGCCACGAAATTTCTGAATCGAATTGTTCTTATATGCTTTTTTATCAACGTCGACCTTATGTTCCTTGGTTTCCCCACAAAATTCCATATGATATTATTCAAGAATATCGAGAAATAAATAAAGATGCGCGGGACTACAAACAACGTAATAAATCAAAAAAGAAAAATAAATATTCCCGTTAATAAATATTTTTAACAAAATGAAATGAAATTGAGCTTGTATTATCTAGTATTTTTTTTAATTTTTGCCTTCGAGTTATAATTTTCACAATAGGAAATATAAAAAGGGAAAACAAAAAATATTTCCAAAAATATTCTCACTATTAGATACGAACTATAATATACAAACATAGGTCAGAAAAATTGCATCTTAAAGTTGAGTGTATTTTGAAATATCTTTACATAAATACCGATTGACCACCATTATTCGATCAAATAAAAAATACAAAATTTAGGTGTATTTAAATTTTAGAGGGTGTCACTAACATTAAAATTCAGTTTGTAAATGTTATATATTTTTATTTTAGCATGGTTTTTGCGTTTTTTTGCTCCTAAATCTCATCAATATTCGGAAGGGCATTATAATGATTAACAAAATAAAAATTGTTCTAAGAATAATTTTAAATACATTCTGATTTTATTAAAGTTTTCACAAAATCGTTCACGATCGAACCTCACATTATGATACACAACCGAGCTTAAAATTGTCTCTTATAGATGTATATCTTAAATAGATTTATCACTTCACTTAATTATCAAGTGATTTTAATAGGTTTACACCCACTTCTGTGTCCGAAAAATCAAAAAAATATTTTAATTTTTATTGTATCATCTTATCGTGAGGTTCGACTTTAATCAATATTACTTTCTTTTTATTAACAAAATTTATTTTACAGCATTTTTCTTTTTATAATTTGAGTTTGTACTATAACTATGTAAAGATCTGTCCAAGACGAGATCTCTAACAAAAATATTTTATATTTTTCAGATGTTTTTTTAAATAAATGCTCACATCGTTGATTTAAAGATAAATTTATTAGATAAAACACTTTTTATTGCTTCGACTCAACATTTTTAAGGCAAACTAAATGTACTAAAATTCAAAATAAATGCAACTGAAAGGATATAAATGTTCAGGAGTTATTAGTCAATAATTATGACATTTGTAGGAGAGCACTGACGTTCATACCTAATTTATTATAAAAATTTGATCAAATAAATTTTAAATGCCCAGTTATATTTGAAAATAAATTCCATAATGGATAAAATACTAACTGCTAAACATAAATAAATAAATTTATCTGACAACGGCAACTTCGAATTAAGTTTAGAAAATCTTCTATAAAATTTTTATTATAAATTTGTCATAAATTTTTTGTGCCACTTTGAAAATAAATTCCATAATGGATAAAATACTAACTGCTAAACATAAATAAATAAATTTATCTGACAACGGCAACTTCGAATTAAGTTTAGAAAATCTTCGATAAAATTTTTATTATAAACTTGTCATAAATTTTTTGTGCCACTTTGAAAATAAATTCCATAATGGATAAAATACTAACTGCTAAACATAAATAAATAAATTTATCTGACAACGGCAACTTTGAATTAAGTTTAGAAAATCTTCGATAAAATTTTTATTATAAATTTGTCATAAATTTTTTGTGCCACTTTGAAAATAAATTCCATAATGGATAAAAACTAACTGCTAAACATAAATAAATAAATTTATCTGACAACGGCAACTTCGAATTAAGTTTAGAAAATCTTCGATAAAATTTTTATTATAAATTTGTCATAAATTTTTTGTAGCACTTTGAAAATAAATTCCATAATGGATAAAAACTAACTGCTAAACATAAATAAATAAATTTATCTGACAACGGCAACTTCGAATTATGTTTAGAAAATCTTCGATAAAATTTTTATTATAAATTTGTCATAAATTTTTTGTGCCACTCTGAAAATAAATTCCATAATGGATAAAATACTAACTGCTAAACATAAATAAATAAATTTATCTGACAACGGCAACTTCGAATTATGTTTAGAAAATCTTCGATAAAATTTTTATTATAAATTTGTCATAAATTTTTTGTGCCACTTTGAAAATAAATTCCATAATGGATAAAAACTAACTGCTAAACATAAATAAATAAATTTATCTGACAACGGCAACTTCGAATTAAGTTTAGAAAATCTTCGATAAAATTTTTATTATAAATTTGTCATAAATTTTTTGTAGCACTTTGAAAATAAATTCCATAATGGATAAAATACTAACTGCTAAACATAAATAAATAAATTTATCTGACAACGGCAACTTCGAATTAAGTTTAGAAAATCTTCGATAAAATTTTTATTATAAACTTGTCATAAATTTTTTGTGCCACTTTGAAAATAAATTCCATAATGGATAAAATACTAACTGCTAAACATAAATAAATAAATTTATCTGACAACGGCAACTTTGAATTAAGTTTAGAAAATCTTCGATAAAATTTTTATTATAAATTTGTCATAAATTTTTTGTGCCACTTTGAAAATAAATTCCATAATGGATAAAAACTAACTGCTAAACATAAATAAATAAATTTATCTGACAACGGCAACTTCGAATTAAGTTTAGAAAATCTTCGATAAAATTTTTATTATAAATTTGTCATAAATTTTTTGTAGCACTTTGAAAATAAATTCCATAATGGATAAAAACTAACTGCTAAACATAAATAAATAAATTTATCTGACAACGGCAACTTCGAATTATGTTTAGAAAATCTTCGATAAAATTTTTATTATAAATTTGTCATAAATTTTTTGTGCCACTCTGAAAATAAATTCCATAATGGATAAAATACTAACTGCTAAACATAAATAAATAAATTTATCTGACAACGGCAACTTCGAATTATGTTTAGAAAATCTTCGATAAAATTTTTATTATAAATTTGTCATAAATTTTTTGTGCCACTTTGAAAATAAATTCCATAATGGATAAAAACTAACTGCTAAACATAAATAAATAAATTTATCTGACAACGGCAACTTCGAATTAAGTTTAGAAAATCTTCGATAAAATTTTTATTATAAATTTGTCATAAATTTTTTGTGCCACTTTGAAAATAAATTCCATAATGGATAAAATACTAACTGCTAAACATAAATAAATAAATTTATCTGACAACGGCAACTTCGAATTATGTTTAGAAAATCTTCGATAAAATTTTTATTATAAATTTGTCATAAATTTTTTGTGCCACTTTGAAAATAAATTCCATAATGGATAAAAACTAACTGCTAAACATAAATAAATAAATTTATCTGACAACGGCAACTTCGAATTAAGTTTAGAAAATCTTCGATAAAATTTTTATTATAAATTTGTCATAAATTTTTTGTGCCACTTTGAAAATAAATTCCATAATGGATAAAATACTAACTGCTAAACATAAATAAATAAATTTATCTGACAACGGCAACTTTGAATTAAGTTTAGAAAATCTTCGATAAAATTTTTATTATAAATTTGTCATAAATTTTTTGTGCCACTTTGAAAATAAATTCCATAATGGATAAAATACTAACTGCTAAACATAAATAAATAAATTTATCTGACAACGGCAACTTTGAATTAAGTTTAGAAAATCTTCGATAAAATTTTTATTATAACTTTTCATAAATTTTTTGTGCCACTTTGAAAATAAATTCCATAATGGATAAAATACTAACTGCTAAACATAAATAAATAAATTTATCTGACAACGGCAACTTCGAATTAAGTTTAGAAAATCTTCGATAAAATTTTTATTATAAATTTGTCATAAATTTTTTGTAGCACTTTGAAAATAAATTCCATAATGGATAAAAACTAACTGCTAAACATAAATAAATAAATTTATCTGACAACGGCAACTTCGAATTAAGTTTAGAAAATCTTCGATAAAATTTTTATTATAAATTTGTCATAAATTTTTTGTGCCACTTTGAAAATAAATTCCATAATGGATAAAATACTAACTGCTAAACATAAATAAATAAATTTATCTGACAACGGCAACTTCGAATTATGTTTAGAAAATCTTCGATAAAATTTTTATTATAAATTTGTCATAAATTTTTTGTGCCACTTTGAAAATAAATTCCATAATGGATAAAAACTAACTGCTAAACATAAATAAATAAATTTATCTGACAACGGCAACTTCGAATTAAGTTTAGAAAATCTTCGATAAAATTTTTATTATAAATTTGTCATAAATTTTTTGTGCCACTTTGAAAATAAATTCCATAATGGATAAAATACTAACTGCTAAACATAAATAAATAAATTTATCTGACAACGGCAACTTTGAATTAAGTTTAGAAAATCTTCGATAAAATTTTTATTATAAATTTGTCATAAATTTTTTGTGCCACTTTGAAAATAAATTCCATAATGGATAAAATACTAACTGCTAAACATAAATAAATAAATTTATCTGACAACGGCAACTTCGAATTAAGTTTAGAAAATCTTCGATAAAATTTTTATTATAAATTTGTCATAAATTTTTTGTGCCACTTTGAAAATAAATTCCATAATGGATAAAATACTAACTGCTAAACATAAATAAATAAATTTATCTGACAACGGCAACTTTGAATTAAGTTTAGAAAATCTTCGATAAAATTTTTATTATAACTTTTCATAAATTTTTTGTGCCACTTTGAAAATAAATTCCATAATGGATAAAATACTAACTGCTAAACATAAATAAATAAATTTATCTGACAACGGCAACTTCGAATTAAGTTTAGAAAATCTTCGATAAAATTTTTATTATAAATTTGTCATAAATTTTTTGTAGCACTTTGAAAATAAATTCCATAATGGATAAAAACTAACTGCTAAACATAAATAAATAAATTTATCTGACAACGGCAACTTCGAATTATGTTTAGAAAATCTTCGATAAAATTTTTATTATAAATTTGTCATAAATTTTTTGTGCCACTCTGAAAATAAATTCCATAATGGATAAAATACTAACTGCTAAACATAAATAAATAAATTTATCTGACAACGGCAACTTCGAATTATGTTTAGAAAATCTTCGATAAAATTTTTATTATAAATTTGTCATAAATTTTTTGTGCCACTTTGAAAATAAATTCCATAATGGATAAAAACTAACTGCTAA